AACACCCACTTATTCCATCACTAAAATGGCAGGTAAAATTATATACCTTGATTTCTAATAGTGACTCAATTATATGCTCAGGTATCAACCATGTTAATTACAGTACTTTCTCAAGTTTGCTGAAGCGAAGGGTCAGGGCAAGATTACAAGTGAACATATAAAAGTTGTGATTTATTATCAACTTAATTATCATTGAGGTAAGAGTCCCTAAGTGAATGAGAACAAGAGACAAGTGAACGAACTGAAAAATATAAAAGATGGCCCTGCTCTTCAGATAGCTCTCCCGCGATATCAGCTCAAATCATTATTGACCATGAAAGGGTAATGCATTAATGAATTGAGATGCATCCTGCTGCTTGAAACTATTAATAAAATGTGACCATAATTGACAAAAGGTACCTTATGGCGGATTTTAAAATTCATTATTATAATGAAAAATATCAACCTGTGAGTGCTGTGTTAAACAACCATTGCTTCTAAAAGTTACATAGTAACTTTTTGCATCTGGTGGAGTAATTTTATGATAAATGGATCTCAGGAAGATGATATTTTTGGCTATGAAGACAAATTTCACTACCCGCCATAAGGTACCTTTTGTCAATTATGGTCACAAATAGTCTGCTGTAGAAACTAAAGGTATTGTAGGCTATATCAAACCTTTTGTCCAAGTTATCACGTGGTAGCTAGTTGTTTTGCTGTGTTACAGATGAAGAAATGATTGTTGTCATTTATGACTGCAAAAAGGCCTGCTATCTCACGCACACTTGATGCACTCGAAGAATAGCCAACAGATCTTTCCTTCATGATGTCTGAGGAGTCGAAAGACCTACTACAAGGAGCTATGAGGTTTATGAAGTCCCTAAAAAAGAAGAAACTGTTCTTCCTTTCTTCCGCTGTACAAACCAATGGTATGGTTCTCTCTGTAAAAAATGAAGTGTTGTGAAGTCCCAGTTTTATTTAATAAACTTTCTGTCCACAACAGTATAGTTCCAAAAATAGAATAACTTTGATTCTAGCTTGCACTATAAATATAATAATAATACAAATTAATAAATTAAACAAATAATTGGGATATATAGTATTCATCGAGGGCCTTGTTTTGACAGTACGGCAAGAGACTACAATGTAAGATTTTCAATTCTGTCTTTGCAGGGAAGTAAACTACCATCTTAGCTAAGTAATAGGTGAGTGAAAAAGCCAATCTAAGCATTTTTGTTGCATGTTTTGGATAAATATGGGACTGTAATTTGAAGCTCAGTTGTGATTTTCAAAGTTTATTAACTGCAAAATGAAGCACTTAGTACTAGCATTCTGCAGCTAAAGCATTAAATTCAAAATGATTTGTTGTCATCTGGGTGAAATTTTTACTTAATGTCGGCCATTTTAAAATTTTAAAAAGAATATTTTTAAACTTTTTAATATTATAATAATTTTATTATATTATATTGATGAAGAATATGAGAAAGCGCTCTCCAGTTGAAAGCATTGAGAGCCAACATGGATGCCCTACTCAACTGCTTTAAACACTATGGATGTCCCGTCTTTCATAGTTAGTGTCTGATAATAATGGGCCGATTGATGTATTTGATATGCAAAGAAAGCTTCTTGTGCAGAGCTATCTTGAAAATATGTGACCCAATATGAGAAAACCAGGCTATCTGCAGGATCTTGGTAATATCAGTTTTTGGTACTTACAAATAGAGAAAAAAATTTCCTTTCCAACGATATCCTATTTATGACAATGCGCAATAAAACTTTGCAGTTAGGGATGCTGTTTGGACGATTGCTCTGCAATACAAGTACAGAGAAAAAGGCATTTTAAGTTATTTTCAAAGTTTCCGTGTCATGCCCGTTCACGTAGTAAATGTGACCACGCACACTTCATAAACCACACCCACATCAATTAATAAATGGGTAAAGAAGAAAGAAGCACTTGGCAGCATTTTAAATTACTTTTTTTGCTTTTTGGACATCTTAAGAGTGATCTTAAGCCCAGCCATGCATTGAGACTTCAAATACAAGTAAGTTTTTTCATTCCAAAAGTTTTAGAGTTATTGCTGTGTTCTAGTGCCAATGAAGTCCTTTTTGTGAAATGTAATAAGATCATCTGGGTCATACACTTCATTTACATCCAGACATCACTTCTGCTTCAGTTTACAGGTAATATTGTTATTTAGAATTTTATTTTGAACTATAATTAAGGGATCTACATTTAACGTTAAAATAATTAATAGTTTTTGCACTTGCTGATGAATCCTATAGAAGATTATTGTTATTCTTATGTTTCATAATGTTTCTTTCCTTACTGTTGGATGAGGGGCTCCTCCTCTTCCTCCTTGGCCTCCCCCTCTACCTCCTTGGCCTCCTCCCTTCCCTCCTTGCCCTGCTCTGCCACGCTTTCCACCTTTACCCCGCCCTCCTTGTCTGTGTTGCCTTCACTTCTTCTAAGAAAAAGAAAAATTATAGTGATTACTCATTTCAATAATGCTCCTTTGATACTTCAAATTTCTTTCTCTTGTCTCTCTCTGTCTCTGTCCCAGTCTCTTCTCCTGTCCCTGTCTCCTCGCCTGTCTCTGTCTCCTCCCCTGTCTCTGTTTC